ACTGGGATACCAAGGTACTCTTTTACATAAATGTACAAGTACTTGTTGCGCAATGCGGATATACTAATGAGTATGTCAGGTCGGAGATGGGGATTGTGGGCTCACGTTGGCCGCAGGTGCCAAGGCCATTCAGCACGATCTGGCGACGTACCCGTTGAACATTCCGTCCAAAACACTCTTGGCGGTGGCTAGTAGCGTTGCCAACGCCATTGGCGGCACCTCCGGAGGTTCTGCTTACTGCACGTACAAGTATCGTTAGTTGTTGTGATCTGCGTAGTGCTCTACACAATCTTCTTCACGGCAGCTGGAGCTACCATGGCCACCTATGACCACGGGCAAGAACTTGTCCAGACCAACAAAGCTTCAGCTTGGGTGGAGAGCTTTGCGTCTGGCGTGGTGGCAATCCAGAAGTATGGCGGCGCCACTGAAGGGTCCCGTACAATGCTGGACGCGATGCTGCCGGCCCTTCGCACTGCCCAGCAAGTAAGCGCTCAAAACACAAGTGACAAGCACGTGATAAAACTCGTGAATAGACGAATTGGTCGACACAGTTGGACGGGGTGGCGGCGGTTGCTAAGGCGGCAAGTGCCGGCGCGGACGCCACCAAGCGGATTGCGGCGCACGATGCGTTTGGACGTACGAGTTATGTTGGTGAAGAGGCTGTCAAGAACATCCCGGACCCTGGAGCCATGGCGGTTGCGGTTTGGATTCAAGCGCTCGTACCACACTTGCAAACGGAATAAAGTAGGTCGGTACTTATATTACCAAATATATGCACCAATCTTGGGGGGTGCTCTGGTGATATCTTGACGCTAAATGTCATTGGTGGGACGATACACAAAGTCGCTGCTCCATGGCCGCTTGTCGATTTTGCTTACAAAGTACCGTGGCGCACTACACATGTATATTATATATGGCCACGTGGACTCGGGATTTGTCACACAAGAACAGGCATATTATACATTTATATGATATATAATATATATATATATATATATATATAATATTGGGTTTTCTTACATTTCTTCACGACTGACGGTCCACAAGTATTCTGGACGCGACCCGCCAAGCATTTGCGATCGGTTCAACATTTGCACAAACTCTTCGTCGTGCGTGATGCAAATGAGTTGGAAATTCTGCTGCTTTTCTCGGGCAATCAAAATGCTACATAAAGCTCCGTTCGTCATCATATTCCCTCGAGATATGTATCCTAAACACAAGTTTAGCAATATCCACACGTACTCTGAGATGGCTTGGGCGAGTCCTAACTTGTTGGCAGAGTCCAAATTGGTCGTGGGTTCGTCCAGGGCCAAGATCCCGCAATTCAAGCAGAACGTTTCTGCCAACGCCAGTCGAATGACCAGGCCGGCCAACACCTACATCATCAGACACCGTGCATGCTACTGACACTAGCGTTCAAAAGTACATGTGGACACTACCTTTTGTCCGGCACTGCACCGCCCTCGCATGTCCAGCACGGCGCTGTCCTTGCGCATCACGACCCGGTAGTTGTACGAACGCTTGGAATTGGAATCGCCGCTTTCGTGGCCACTGACGATCTCAATCGTGTCGATGTCTTGGCCGCGGTACGTGATTTGCCACAAACTTCGAATGATGGCGTTGATTTCTTCAATCTTTTGCGAATGAAACTGCATCAACGACATGTCCAGCGCCTTGTAGTACTTGTCCAAGTCGGACACTGCCATCATGGTCGTTTCAAACTCGATAAACTTGTGCCGCTTCTTCTCGTCAATGTTCTTCAGGTCGCGATGGGCCAGCTGCACTTGCACTTCGCGCACGTTTTCCTGCAAATTGTCTTGCTTGCCCGCCAGCTTTGCGCGCTCTTCTTTGGCCGCGTTGAGCGTCTCACTGGCCACTCGGCACGCGTTCTCGGCCTCGGCAACGCTCCGAAACGTGTCCATTTTCCGCTTGAACGCCTCCAGGTCTTCCTTGGCCTTGTCCGCCGCATCGCGCAGCTGGCGGAACTGAATGTTGTCGCGGATTTGGCGCTTAAAGCTCTCGGTTTCCGAGAGCGAGCTACGCGCCCGCGTCTTTTCTGGCTGCAGCATTGCAATGTCTCGTGAAATGCGTTCACTTTGCGCATGGAGCTGCTGTAGCTCTTGGTCGAGCGCGTGTAATTTGGCCTCGTCGTTTTGCTTTTGCATTTCGTCGACTTCTTCGTGCTTGCGTTGGACGAGTTGCAGGTCCTGCTGGCACGACGTGAGCTCTGCGCGCTTGGCGTCGATAGCGTCTTTCAACTGCAGTCGACTGATCTCTCGTTCGTTCACTTTGATTTGCAGCTCCCGTTGAACGCTAGGAACGTCGCGTTGGGCAGTGGCCAGCTCTTCCTGCAGTTTGCGCAACTTGGCTCGAAGCGACTCGCGCTGGTCCTTGGCCTTTTCCAACTGGATGTTGCGCTGGTTCAACTGGTGTTTTTCTTCGCGCACTCTGTGGACTTCGCCTTGTAGACGCATGAGCGCGTCGGAAGCGGCGTGAACTTCGGCTTGTTTCTGCTTGAGCTTGGTCTCGAGGTCTCTGCATTTGGTCTGCATCGATTCCAACGCCTCCTGGGCCATCGACATGGTCGGCGGGTTGCTCCCGAGGCTGTCCGCTAGCCGCGACGCCAAATCGCGCTCCGACGCCGCCACCTTTTTCGCGTCAAATTCCACTTGGTCGTAGCTTTTCTTGAGAGCCTTGAGGAGATCCCATCCTTCCACGACTTGGCTCAGCTTGGCTTCGTTTTGCTGAACCACGAGTCGGGTTTGTGTAAGATCCAGCTCGAGGGCGCGCGACTGCTTGTACAGGTCGTTGAGGACGTCGCTTCTCGCGGGTAAGTCCTTTTGGATGGCTTGGAGGCGGTGCCACGACGGCATGAGCGTTTCCGTCTGCTTCCACACTTCAAATGCTTGCTGCTCGAGTCGTTCCGCCTTGTGAATTTTCTCTTGGTTCTTCGAGTCGTCCATTTTGTCGGCCACGAGCTTGGAGAACACGGCCAACTCGTCGGGGGTCATGCCGCGGTGGCACAGCGGGCAGCAGTGTTCCTTTTCGCCCTTCTTCTTGTACGTTTTCAAGAACATGACGGCATTCTTGCGGCTCACCGTCTTGTCTTTGGCCTCCATGTACATGGTTTCCAGCTGGGCCACGGCCGTCTCGGGCTGCAGCAGCTGGTACGCCGAGAAGATTCGCTGCAGCTCCTGCATCGGTCCTAGCTCCAACTGGTCCAGTTCCTTGCGTAGCTTGGACACGGTGTTTTCTTCTTGCTGTTTCTTGAGATTCAATTCCGTGGCTTGGGCTTCGCAGCGCCGCAACGCATCGTGGCTCTCGTGGATAGTCCGTTTGCAGGTTTCAGCCAGCGCTTCGAGCGTATTCACATCCTGATCTAATGATGCTTCCGTGGGTTGGTGGGGCAAGAGATGCGCAAACTTGGGGTCGGTCAAGTTCTCGTGGACGCCGGCTTTTCGGGCACATACGTCGCGCCTCGAGTGCTCCAGAGCGCTCTCCTCCTTTTCAAAGCCGCGGAGGACGTTGACTTTGTCTTGGGCGATTTTCAAGTCGAACGAGAGCGAGTTGAGCTCCTTGTCGATTGCGACGGTCTCATCGCGAAGGCGCGACGTCGCGTGGCTGTCCTTGGACGCTTGCAGCTTGGCTTCCAACTCGGCCAATTTCGCTTCCAGCTGGGATAATTCTCGCTGGGATGACGTGGATTCGCTGGCGCTTCGTTGGTGGCCTTGGAGAAAGGTTATGACTTTGGCCTCTTCCTTCTGGACGTCGGCCATTTCAGCGTTCTTGTGGTCAATTTGTAGCGTGTATTGGTTTAATTGGGTTTCAAGCTTGTTGATCGTGGAATTCCACTGGTCCTGGACTTTGGTGCTGTCCTGCTCCATGGTTTTGAGCGCGGTCTCTTTGTCCAGCAGCGCTTCTTGAAAGCGGGCCCAGAATTGCCGCTGTTCTTGGCTCGTCGACAGCGACGGAAACGACCCAAACGCGTGCTTGCGGCCCATGTCGCACGCCAATTCGGCGCGGGCTTTGGCGGCCGTTCGCAGCCTTTCGATGGCTTTAAGCAGCAGCCCCTTGTTCACGCGAAGGTTGACGACTTTCTCGTTGATCGTGGCTTGGGTCGTCTGCAGCTGGGATTCTTGGGACTCGATCATTTCCACTTGACGGTTGTTAGTCGCAACGATCACGTCATAGTTGGCCAGCAATTCGGTCAGCTGCGCCGTGGACTCGCTCATCTCCTTGAATTCGGGGTTGACGCGGTAGTTCCGTTGAATCTCCTGGAGCATCGACGCCAACCCGTTGTCCTTTTGAACCAGCTCGGCATGCAACGACCTCGACTCGGCCAAGTCGTGGGTCGCGTCCGCCGCATTTCGCTCGAGGGCGTCGATGTTGTCGGACATGGCGTTTTGGTCCAGCTTGAGGGCTTCGAGCTTGGTTTGACGGACTTCCAGCTGTTCTTCCAGCTCCCGCGCCCGCTTCACTTGCTCGTTGATCACGTCCAAATCGCGCTTGAGATCTTTGCCCTGGCTGGTGCGATCGAGCTTGAGTTTTCGGATGGCCTCCAACGCTTTCGTGTACCGCGCCGACTCGAAAATGTCGTCGAAGCGACTTTTCAGCACCTTACCTTCTTGCAACGGCCAATTTGAGTCCTCTTGATGGCAAAAAATCACACTGTCCAGAACGGCTTTGGACACCCCGAGCAAACTGGGAATGTGCTTGTCCAGATCGCTGCACTTATGGTTCATGCTGACCTTTTCGCCGTGTTCGTTTACCATGCGAATCACCCCATCCATGGCAGCAAAGGTGACGGCATTTTTCTTTTGCTGCAATCGATACGTCCGTTGCACCACCATGGTTTGTCCCGCCCGACTAGTAAAGCGCAAACGCACGCTTCCCTTGACTTCCACGTCACCTCGAATCTTTGGGTCATGGACAAAGGTTTGCCCCGATCGCGCACCAGGAGGGAGCAGTCCCGTGCAGCTGATCTTAAGACACTCGATAATGGTCGTTTTGCCGCAACCTACACATGTGGGACGTAGGATCGTCGTCCTTCTCCATGCCGTTTGTCATACACATACATACCATTCGCGCCAAGGATCACCGTGAGAGGTTGATTGAAGTCGATGGACTCATCGCGCCCAGGACTGAAGCTTCGGATTCCTCGGATCGAGAGTTTGTCGATGGATGACATGTTAGGCGCTGGTGCTCGGATAATTTGGAAAATGCGTTCATTATTTGTGCGCGAAAAACACCCTCTCAAACATGATATGTATTGTGAGAGGAAGATTGTGTCATCCGTCGAAAAGGCGCCGCGGCCGCCATCGACATGCACTTCAAAGGCGGTGCCACGAAATCTCCCCGACACAAGCGAAAGAAGCGCGACGGACGGCGCGCCAACGGGCTTGGCTTGGTGCCGCAATGGGACGCCAACTCCTCGACCGTGCTGTTTCCATCGCTCAAGCGGCCGACTCATATCCCCGTGGAACACATCGCAAGCAAGCCACACAAGCGACATCCAGTTCGACCTCTGCCGGCACAGAGTGACGCCATGACATTCTCGAATCAAGCATCGACTCCACGCACTGTCACGTCGCTGTTTCAGTCGGCGGACGAGGAAGCCACACCTGCCCCAGGAACAACCACCGACAACACGGGTCCCACGAATCCCAGCTGCAGACGACCCAAGCCACGATCAACGAGAAAGTCGTCAACCTTCGCGTGAACAAGGGGCTGCTGCTTAAAGCCATCGAAAGGCTGCGAACGGCCGCCAAAGCCCGCGCCGAATTGGCGTGCGACATGGGCCGCAAGCACGCGTTTGGGTCGTTTCCGTCGCTGTCGACGAGCCAAGAACAGCGGCAATTCTGGGCCCGCTTTCAAGAAGCGCTGCTGGACAAAGAGACCGCGCTCAAAACCATGGAGCAGGACAGCACCAAAGTCCAGGACCAGTGGAATTCCACGATCAACAAGCTTGAAACCCAATTAAACCAATACACGCTACAAATTGACCACAAGAACGCTGAAATGGCCGACGTCCAGAAGGAAGAGGCCAAAGTCATAACCTTTCTCCAAGGCCACCAACGAAGCGCCAGCGAATCCACGTCATCCCAGCGAGAATTATCCCAGCTGGAAGCGAAATTGGCCGAGTTGGAAGCCAAGCTGCAAGCGTCCAAGGACAGCCACGCGACGTCGCGCCTTCGCGATGAGACCGTCGCAATCGACAAGGAGCTCAACTCGCTCTCGTTCGACTTGAAAATCGCCCAAGACAAAGTCAACGTCCTCCGCGGCTTTGAAAAGGAGGAGAGCGCTCTGGAGCACTCGAGGCGCGACGTATGTGCCCGAAAAGCCGGCGTCCACGAGAACTTGACCGACCCCAAGTTTGCGCATCTCTTGCCCCACCAACCCACGGAAGCATCATTAGATCAGGATGTGAATACGCTCGAAGCGCTGGCTGAAACCTGCAAACGGACTATCCACGAGAGCCACGATGCGTTGCGGCGCTGCGAAGCCCAAGCCACGGAATTGAATCTCAAGAAACAGCAAGAAGAAAACACCGTGTCCAAGCTACGCAAGGAACTGGACCAGTTGGAGCTAGGACCGATGCAGGAGCTGCAGCGAATCTTCTCGGCGTACCAGCTGCTGCAGCCCGAGACGGCCGTGGCCCAGCTGGAAACCATGTACATGGAGGCCAAAGACAAGACGGTGAGCCGCAAGAATGCCGTCATGTTCTTGAAAACGTACAAGAAGAAGGGCGAAAAGGAACACTGCTGCCCGCTGTGCCACCGCGGCATGACCCCCGACGAGTTGGCCGTGTTCTCCAAGCTCGTGGCCGACAAAATGGACGACTCGAAGAACCAAGAGAAAATTCACAAGGCGGAACGACTCGAGCAGCAAGCATTTGAAGTGTGGAAGCAGACGGAAACGCTCATGCCGTCGTGGCACCGCCTCCAAGCCATCCAAAAGGACTTACCCGCGAGAAGCGACGTCCTCAACGACCTGTACAAGCAGTCGCGCGCCCTCGAGCTGGATCTTACACAAACCCGACTCGTGGTTCAGCAAAACGAAGCCAAGCTGAGCCAAGTCGTGGAAGGATGGGATCTCCTCAAGGCTCTCAAGAAAAGCTACGACCAAGTGGAATTTGACGCGAAAAAGGTGGCGGCGTCGGAGCGCGATTTGGCGTCGCGGCTAGCGGACAGCCTCGGGAGCAACCCGCCGACCATGTCGATGGCCCAGGAGGCGTTGGAAT